ATCTTTTAGATCGGTTAAGGTGTTCCTATACCAGCAGTGGTCACGCCCCTATACTAGCAATGCTCACGTCCAACTACCTTACAGTGACATCTTTGCTGAGTGGGTCAACACCTTTTCGATCAGTTAAGGTGTTCATATACCAGCAATAGTCATTGTTATATATCTTGCAGTGACATATTTGCTTAGTAGGTTAACATCCTTTTGATCGATTAAAGTGTTCCTATACCAGCAGTAGTCACCTTCATTTGCCTTGTAGTGACATATTTGCTGAGTAGGTTAACATCTTTTCGATCGGTTAAGGTTGTTCCTATGCCAACAACAGTCACCTCTATTTGCCTAACAGTGACTACTTTGCTGAGTAGGTTAACACCTTTTCGATTGGTTGAGGTGTTCCTAAATCAATAGTATCCGCATCCATCTGCCTTGCAACGACATTTTTGTTGTATAGGTTTAACACCTTTTCGATTTGTTGAGATGTTCCTAAATCAGCAGTGTCTGCATCCATATACCTTGCAGCGACATTTTTGCTGTATAGGTTTAACACCTTTTCGATCGGTTAAGATGTTCTATACCAACAGTGGTTACTTTTATCTGTCTTTCTTATGGCCACCTTCCGACATCTTCGCCAACTATCAAGTGGCTGCAACTTCTTCGCCATTTATCATCATGTGCAGATCCAATTTGGAGGATGACACCTATCATGGAGAATAAAACCTAATTTGATATTTATGCCCCCAATGATCATCCTCCACTTTACTTTACTGTAGAGCTAGCCTTTAATAGGGTTGAGCGTCGTATCGTCACTCTTAAAGCAAAGTATTATCCGTCAACCTCTTTCCTTGAGGCTGAGAATTTCACTAACTCCTCTTATTTTTGGAAGAGACTTTTATGGGGTCGAGAACTTCTTGCTCAAGGTATTCAAAAGAGAATTGGTAATGGGGCACTACTAAGTCTTCTATGATCCATGGATTCCCCGAGAGCGCACTTTTCGTCCGCTGACTTCCTCTTTATCCCATTTAGGGACAATGGTTTCTGAGTTGATCACTCCAGCTGGGTGTTGGGATATGCAGATCAGGCTTCAGTCTCTTTTTTGTCAAGATGACATTGATGCTATTTTTTCTATTCCTCCCAATAAATTCAACATTCCAGATTAATGGCACTATGATAAGCGTGGTTATTTTTGTGTTAAGAGTGCCTACAGATTATTCATGAATAAAAATCAAGTTCTTCTTCCTAGTGCTTCTACACCATCAGGCTTTATATGGAAATCTATATGGATTTTAAAAGTTCCAACAAAAATCAGAATTTTTATCTGGAAAGCTACTCATAACCTCTTACCGACTATGTATAATCTTAGTAGGAGGGGGATGGATCTCATACCTTTTTGCCCAAATTGTAGACTGCAATTGGAGACCACGGTACGGGCTTAGGGTTCATCTTTCGAGACTCTATGGGTGGCATTTACGCAGCTGGATCATCTTTCATTCCCATCTACCATCAACCTTTGCTGGCCTAACTTCAAGCAATCCTCAATGGCATCTATTTCGCACTTTCAATTAATTGCAGAAATTTAGTTGTGGAGTTGGATGCCCTCGGTGCCATTTCTCTCCTCTGCGGAAAGGTAACCTCGCTGGCTGCTCCGAGTGTTCTTGTCCACGACATACTTGCCAAGGCCCAATTTCTTGGTTCTGTTTCTTTCAATTTTGCACCTCGTAATGTAAATCAGGTTGCAGATTTTCTGGCAAAGAAATCCCTTTCTCTGCGATCTTCTTTTTGTTGGTTAACAAACTTTCCCCTCAGGCTTTGTGGCCTTGTTAGGGAGAAAGATGAGTTGTCTATTAATGCTCACGTGGCCACTCCCTCTTAATGAAGTAACTTCTTTTTTTTTTGAAAAAAAAAAAGTAGCAAAGTAACAAAGAAAAAATTGACCTCACAAACACTCTCTCATGTGTTTACACTCGTAAAGGTATAGTCACTCGTGTATACAGTCAAAACAACAACACTCTCAACAAACTCACAATATTGCCCACACATGAGAAAAATTTGCAACTCAAGTGGTTAGATATAACACACAAAGAAAACATCCAAATAACTTTACTATGGTTAGAAGCAAGCTAAAGAAAGAATGTTACCTATTTAGAACAAGGGAATTATGATGGAACAAGATGAAATGAAAGAAGTAAGTAAAAAGATGTAACAGATCCAACGAAAGATATAATAATCTTGATCACATTTAATAATACCAGTGTTAATGAAGTATTTAGACCATAAATATAACTCTTGGAATATTAAAGTCCAACGGCTAATATAGGGGATGATGGAGTTTAAATTAGCCTTTACAACATATATGGGTTGCAGAAATAAACATCACTAGCATTGAATAACAAATGGTTTGAAATTGAATGTGTAAAAATTGTAATTGCCAAGACTTTAACGAGTAACGGCTAGTTGTGGAAAGAAGTCAATATAAAACTGATATGATTTAATGCTAACGACTAGATTAACACAACTTGACAAATTTCAACAATTCAACTCATATCTAGTATGCTATGGAAGCAAAATTAGAAAGAATAAAAGAGGAACACATGCTCTCGAGTATAAAAGTTTTCCAACACCGAATATTAAATTTGTATTTTTCACCCAAAAGTAATTCAAATTAGAAGTTATCAAATAATAAAAAGTTGTAGATAAGACTTTAATCTATAAGATTGCATGAGACATAAATATGAAAGTAGTAATGGAAATCACGCTTTTTTTGGTATTTTAGGCATGTGGACGGAATGTAACAAGATAAACAATAAGAACAAAATTTCAAAATAAAGAAAAAGAAGAGCAATATGAAAACGAAAATAGGACCGACCCAAAGGTCCTATCCAATATAATCCAATATTACTTTATATTGTATATATATATATATATATATATATATATATTAATTATAATTAATTAGTATTTAGGATTATTCTTTTTTGTCATTCACATTCCTCTAATTTTTTATATTAATATAATAATACAATTTATTTCTTTAAAAATAAAATAAATCAAGTTGTAAAACTGTGATATAACAAAATTTATTGATAACTTTTTTAAAAAAAATGGTACAAAAGCATATAATAAAAACACAATTTTTAACAATTAGGAACTTGGTTTGAAAAATATTTAAAAAATAAATTTTTAATAATTAAAAAATAATTTATTATATGGGTTGGTTCAAGTCTGATCATACTTTAGCCCATTGGATTAGATCTATGGATTAGGTTATGGGCCTAGTTTTTAGTGGTTGGGTCGGTCCAAGCCAGACCCAAATAATGCTCGAGGTCCGTAGGGTTTGGGCCTAGGTCGAGCTCGAGCCTTTGCTTCTTTAGACTGGACTGGGTCAGGCCAGCCCAATGATGGGGTGAACTAACTCTACCACTACTCCCAAATACACCTTAACATTTTAATCAAAATCTAGGGGCTGACTACAAAGTAGTTATGGTTGAATGCTAGAATTTTATTTGGACAAATATACCCTCCTACCAAAATAGTTAAATTTATCCTACAATTACCCCTAAAATTTTATGGCAAAAATATCCTTGAAACAACTTTTTGCTAAAACTTATGAAATATTATTGAATCAAATTTTTAAAGTTCAAAATTTCAAAAAGTAAAATCTAAATTTACGGGGTCTGTATGCACAAAATTGCTGACCATGTAATTCGTCAAAAGTAGGGCCCAAACCAGCCGATTGCTAAAATGTCCTCTGAAATTTTCATTGTCACTAACGACAATAGCCATTTACACTTTCACTTTTTCTGTACGTGTAACTATCTACGGGGTCTGTATGCACAAAGTTACTAACCATGTACTTCGGTAAAAGTAAGGCCCACACCACTCCAATTGCTAAAATGTCTCCTGAAATTTGCATTTTTTCACTACAAAAAATAGTCATAACAGTAGGAAGAAGACCAGGAGTAGATTTTTTTTAAAAAAAAAAGAGTGGAGTGCGCATAGCCTAAAAATTGGAGATCACTCGTACACTCTTTGTCTTCTACATGATGGCCAACGCTAATATTTATTGGTGTTATGTCATGGTTGGAAGGACTGATCCATGCCCAATATTATCCTTCATCGGCTCATTCTCATTCACCGCCATCAGATTCACTCTCATGTGACACTTTGTAACTCCAGATAAAACCAAAATCGTCTTACTTAGCATCGATTAGGATTTAACTCATTCTAGAGGAATTTACATGGAAAACAAGATTGATGCATGATGAAGATTAGCGAGAGGATCCATGTAATGGAATAGAAGATTAGCAAGACAGATGACAAAAAATAAGGTCGCTGGAATGAGTTAAATCGGGCAAAGAGAGATTGACTTAATTTTGAAACAATATCTAAATCTAGTTTCTAAAATTTTGGTTTAGGTAGGGTAGAGAGAAGATTTGATTTTTAATTAGTTTAAAACATGATTCAAAATAGCTAGAATTTACGTTTATGTAGGATAGAGAAAGAACCTAATGTATAGTAATATAGGAGGGGTAAAATGGACAAATGATGGAATGGTGTTGGAGGGGTAAATACGAAAATCTACCCCGCATAATTTTCGAAAAAAAATGTTAGCATTTTTTAAAATTACGGAACTTTCGACCATTTTTCGTTACCATCTTGAATGTAGCCACGGAATCAGTTCCCCAAAATCTAACCTAAGTTGCTGATAGAAATCTTCTGCAACTAGATGAGCTATAGTAGCAATGGAACCATCTGGTTTAAGATAAGATATTAAATAAAATTTTGAGGACGTTTCTCGAGAATGCAATTTTGAGGATATTTCTTAAAAATGAGAAAAATGAAATATGAACCATTACTAAATGCGTCACAAAAATGAGTCCAACTACATTGAATTATTCCAATAACTTTAAATTACAACTAAATGCGTCACAAAAATGTGTCCAACTACATTGAATTATTCCAATAACTTTAAATTACATTATAGTGACAGTAGAGAAATAAATTATAGCTTAGAGTTGCAGACCTTTAAACCAACAATACTGTACACTACACACAACACCAAAACCTCAATAATATAATGTTATGTTCTGCTTCTAACTGACTAAGAATTCTCCACTGGCGTGAACTTCTTTCACCCTCTTGTCATACTCATCTTCTTCCTCCTCCTCCTCTTCCACCTCTCCCTCGCCTTCGTCATCCTCTTCTTCCGTTCCCCATCCAAAGCCCTTGATGGTCGTCGATGATGGCGGCGGGTTTCTTGCCTCCCCCACGATCTTCATGATCTCCTCCACGCTTTGAAGGGAGAAGCTCGGGTTATCCCTCTGGTAATAGATGGCTTGGGATGATTCTGTCAGTTCCCTCGGCAAGTTCTTTAAGAACCACGGATGACTCTTGATCTCTTTTAGCGAAATTCTCTGTCATGTTACGATGAGATTGAAAAAATTACATCGAATAGAAGCGTTATAACCCAACCCAACATCATAATGAAGTTAAAGATTAGAAAGAATGAAAGGTGACTTGACTACTTTTAAGTTTTCAACAAACTAAGAATTTGTCCTACTCTAGTTTCTTTTCAGCTACTGTAATATGTGGTATAATTACTAATCTATAATGAAATAAAGCGAACAAGAATGGGATTTCTTTGCCGCACGGAGGGATCGAAGAGGAATTCTTGCTCTTTGGTGTTGGAACTATGCAGGTAGGATTCAAGGATATTAGGCCCTTCTAAGGACGCCATCCGTGAGGTACCTACTTGGAAGGAACTAGAATTCTAACCTCGTGTCAAAGTGTCAAGTCAAGACCTATAGGCTAAGGGAGAGTCTCCAGTGGAAAATTTCTAGGAGGTGTTGGCCTCCAGAAAGAGGAATGAAACTATTTTCAACAAATAATTATCTGCCAAAACGTTTGAAGAGAAAGAAAAGTGTCTTGTTCTCTCACTATGATCAAGACTGAAAACTAGCTGCTAGAAACGTTTCTTAACTTGTTTCATACAAGACTTTGAGCTAAGAATAATAGGACAAATTTCAGATATTTCAAGGAGTTTCACCAAATTGAGAGAGAGAGAGAGAGAGTTTAATGTGTAAGCATCTAAATAAACTAACTAAAGCTCAAAATAGCTTTTTAAGTTTTCTAGTATATGGAGCTGGGTCTTAATCTAATTATTATTTGTTCCTACAGTACCAAACTAAAATATCAATTCAGATAAAGCAAATGTAATACCAAGTATATGTGATAAAACCATGGAAAATGATCCGAGTCCCTACACTACCATTCTTACCATTTACAAGTTTCAGATCGAATACCAAACAAAACTAACAATATAAAGTGAAGATGATAATTTTGTATAGAACTCCAGATAAGGCAATAATAAAGACATTAGTTTGTGTCGGAAACTTACCCTCGAGGGATTCGGGACAAAGATGCGAGAGAGTAGGTGTCGACAATCTTGAGATATGTGAACATAGTCTGGTATTTTGTACTGTACAGCCATTATTCGCTGCAGAATAAAGAGAAAAAAAAGTGAGCAAAATGATGGCTTAACTAAAATTACAATATGGCAGGGTAAGAAATGAACCTGAATAGTTTTCCTGAAGTTTCTAGGATCGTCTTGATCTTCGAAAGGATATGCACCAACCAGCATAACATAGAGAGTCACTCCACATGACCAGACATCTGCCAACTAAACACGATGAAAGAAAAGACACTGAGCCATTTCAGTGTTTGTAATGAAAAAAATATTAAAAGAAAATTTGTCTTTAAATTGTGTTCTAATCATATGGATATTCATATTAACTTCATATTTGCTTGTCAAGATACAAACAGCAAGTCTTTCTTCATGCACAGATTTTAGTTCTCAAACTAAGTCAAACTTCATTATTGAATAGCAAAGCTATACAACATTAAACTCAATTGATCATCCATGGAAGGCATTGCTCAATAAATACCAACGTGAAAACGTGTGTTACTTGCAAAAGAAAATATGAAGTGATATTCTTGTTCATTTTGCATAATCTAATTGCATTGGGGAATACTTTAAATGTGCATGAGCACCTTTCCATCGTACTCTCGTCGAGAAAGAACCTCCGGGGCTATGTATGCCGGAGTACCAACAGTTGATTTTGGTCTTGAATGCAAGAGGGATGACTACAGAAGAAATTGACAATACAGCAGCATAAGTACAAAGCAAATTAAAAGGAAAAAGGAACACCTTAATGCAAAATGATTGAATAAATTCTCATCTTCGAAGACCTTGGAGTAACCGAAATCACAGATCTTCAAGCGCGGGGCTGCGCTTCCATCTAAAAGGGTATTCTCTAGCTTTAGATCTCTATGACATATTTGCTGCAAAGCATTGTGTCAAATAAGATATTGTATAGGAGTTTTAAGCAAGAAACCATACGAGGCTTAGTTCGGTTTTGACTCTACCATTGAATGGCAATAATTGACTCCAGAAATCAACTGCTGGAAGAAGTACCTAGCCTGTAAAAATAAGATCAATAGTTATAAACATAACACCACAAAACTAGCAATTTCTTATTCTTCTTCTTCTTCCTCATTCTTCTTTCCTATTTTTCTCTTTTTTTTTAATAACTTGGAGTCAGAGCTTTCTCCCTCATACCAGGCTCACCCACGCCCGCCACAAGGCCCAAACCAGAGAGACATCAAGGATTTTTGATATTAAGCTCATCGGAAGGTTCGAACTTGAGACCTCTAGGCCAGTATGACCAAGAGACCCTAAGCCTTTGACAACATACTGCTCCCGGGAGCTGTCCTCATTCTTTCTTTAGTGACCAGAGCATTCCCGCTCCTATTATGCTCATGGCCCACCCCACTAAATCCCCAGAGAAACTTCGCCCATCCCATGGCCAACTCTGGGAACAACAAGGGTTCTAAATTATTAAGTTTTTGGGTGGAAACTAATTGGGAATAAAGCTAGCAAACTCAGAGTGTAAGATTTAGAGAGAGGGAGAGATAGATTAGACCTCATCTTCACTGAAACGGCCAGCATTGCAAATTCTTTCAAAAAGCTCTCCCCCAGCAGCATATTCCATCACTATAGCCAAATGCGTTGGAGTCAAAACAACCTGCAAATCTTAACCCAACTTCAACTTCAAATCCATTTTATGTTTCTCAATCTAAAACAAACTTGATGCGTTTAATAGTAACAAACGAATCTGAAAGAAGAAAGAAAGACTTGCCTCCTTGAAACGAATTATATTCGGATGCCGAAGCGATCGGTGGTTTATAATCTCTCTGGCCACATTCTCATCAATCTGTGAATCCAGACACAAAAAGAAGGCATCAAAATCCCCCAAAATCCCGAACCCACGAATGGAATTCGAAAGGGGAAAAGGAAGAGAGGGAAACCTTGTGGCCGCGCTCTATGTACTTCATGGCGACGAGCTCTTTGGTGTCCTTATGGCGGAGAAGTCTGGCAACTCCGAAATTGCCAGCTCCCAAATCCTTGACCACCTCGTACTTGTCCATGGAATCAAACGGGGAAGAAGTAGGAATTGAAAGCAGGGATTCGAAGGCTCATCAATCAGATCTGAAGTAGAAAAATGGGGGAATTTGGATTTATAGAAACGGGAAGAATGGGGAGAAATCGAATGCACGTGGAATGGGCAGAGCGTTTTCAATCGAGGACCAGCTACAATCCAATCACTGCCTCTTCATTCCCAATCCCACCTTTTTTCATACTCACTTCTTCGGCTTTGCTTTTTTAATAAAATAAATAAATAATCAAAGTGACTTCTATCGATTTTCGACTCCATTCAGATAAATATTGCAATTTTAATTCAAATTTCACTAATTCCCTACTCATTTTAGAAATGAGCAATATAAAAATTGTGAAAACTTATAAATTTTGATAGTATAAAATTCATTATTGAATAGTTATTTCATGCTAACTTGTTAGCTCTTACACATTAAGGTTGATTAGAAGATGGGTTAGAATCTCCGATCTCCTATGATATCGTAATTTAAGAAATAAAATAATCACGATTAAAATGTCGTACGAGATCTCCCGACTTTTCTCGATCTTTGGTGTGCATCACGAAAAGATTTACGAGAACACCCTCCCGACTTGCCTATAAAACGAAACAGAGTACAAAGAAAGGTAAACCCTAATAACAAAAAAATAGCTTATGACATATTCCAATCTTTATTGACTTGAACATTGAAATGTCCACCTTTTGTTTGGAAGGTTCCTCTATTCTTCGAGGAGGAGGATTTGTGTGATTGTTTGTGAGGGATATTTCATCCACAAACACTATCAATATAAGATTGTTCTATAACTCATTGAAGAGACTAATTTTTCTAATTATTCTTCCATCATAAATTTATTAAAATGTAAATATTGTAATATTTATCTTAGAAATTCATGAAATATAAAGTTTTATTTTTACTTTTATTTTTAGGTTTTTTTTAGTACCATGAAAGAGAAAGTTTAGAGGATAAAAGTTGATACAATTTTAATCGGCTTGATTTCATCCTAAAAAAGGGTAATGGGTTTATTATTGTTATTATTATTTTAAATATGGGCAGTGGGTTTGGATCTGCAAAATCGCCGTTGGGTGAGGAGAGAGGATGTGGGTACTTTTGACTTTTTTACCCTTTTTTTCTTTTAATTATTTAATTATTTTTTGTTTAGGTTTCACACTTCTTCCAAATTCCAATGGCCTCTTTTTTCTCTATCACCGTCTCATTCATTGACCAGTGACAGCACTTCCACTCAACTCTTCAAAACCTTTATGATAAAGGAATTGCCGAAACGGTTTCCATATGCAAAAGGAATCTTTTCATCGAAATCAAAGCATTAATTTTTCTATAGACTATACGTTATGAGTATTGAATCGAAATTTCTAAATATAACAAAAAAATCCATCAATTATAGAAAAATATTAACGTAATATTACTAATATAAATATAATATTAAATTTCAAAGGAGTAAGGACTTGTGATGTCTTGGTCACACTGATTTAGAGGTCTCAAATTTGTCTCTCGAATCCATGTCGAGAGGACGTATTTTTTTATAGATAAAATAAATAAATTGATTTTTTTTTTATTTTGTTATGATGGCCAAGTGGACTGATTCACTTCACTTCTTGATTTGTCTTCAAGCTATCTTTTAATTTGGTATAATCCAATCCATCCTTTGGGGCCCATGGTTAAGTCAACAAACTCAGCCTTGGCTTCTAGTATATATGAGTTTGAAAGGATAAGAGATACGTTTTATTTATTTGGAAGACCTAACGGAATGGTTTTTCAAGGGAGAAATTTTAGTTTATGATGATTTGTATTTGGATATAGCAAACTTTAATTGCTATGAATGGTGAGATGTTTTAAAAAAAAACAAAATTATTATCTATGTGAACCCTACTTATCTATCTAGGTGGACCCTTATTAAGGAGATGAAACAAGAAGCATTTGGTTTACAACCCAATCAAACCTGATTAAGTGGATCGTAGTTCAATTTGGTGAAACCGAAACTCACCGAGGATCAGAACCAGATAGGCCTAACGATACCCAACTAGATGATACCTGGAGTCATAACCTAACCACATTATGTTTCACTTGTTTTATATAGTTTAGTCACTTGAATCAGGCAATTCAACAAGATCATTAAAGGTAATTAACAAGTAGCTGTCATTATACTTTATACCTACAACGCGGACCTATCTAACACAATAACGATGTCATTACAACCAATTGCTAATACGAAAACTTAAGCTTACTTAGCCAAAATAACTATTGAGTTAATATACATCAGGGAGTGATGGTGAAGTCCTTTTTGTGTAACTAGCATTATTTTGCAATCATAAACACTCAAGGAGTCCATTGTGCTTCAAAGCTAAGGATAGTTTCTAGTGTGCAAAATTATGGAGAGAATGTTTACTATGCACCATAAGTAGTGTTAGGAAGGTAAAGAAAGATGAGCATGGAGGATGATGTGAAAAGTTTAATGAATCGACTACGAACCCTCTAGCTATATGAACTCGTGATCACACAAAAACCCATAATGTAGCAGAGGAAAAAACTCTAAACCTAAAAGATATTTCTTGAAGCCCCAACCTACCCAAATTATCCCTTAGAGACAATCAAATTTATATGTCTTAATTGTCTTAACTAACTATATTCAAATGGGCAATTTAATGAAAATCTTACTGCCACATAATTCGTCAAAAATTCAAAAAGTGAATAATACTAACTTAATCTAGACACAATGGAGTGGTTACAATATTCAATGGTGAGTAATAAGTAACTACAAGCTAGAAAAATGGGAGCGGTTAAAAGTGAGGCTATTAAAATATATTGTTTTTATTTTTTTTTCAAAAATAGAAGGAAATAACTAACATAGAATAAAAAGTTGAAACATATACAAAAACAAAAAGAAGCTAAGACGAGGACAATGTCAATAACAATGCACGATATATATATACCAAGAGAGCAATTTATAGAATTTCCAACCTGCGTATAGTTGAACGGGTAAGATACATATTCCTGATAAAAAATTATGTAATCGAATCTCTACCTCCACACATTGTTGTACTAAAAAAGTGAGGAGTTCATAAAATTTTTAAGGTAAATTTTACAAAATGAAAACAAATATAGATGGTGTATGTGAACCAAAAGGGAGTAGTAGTAATATCAATGGTTTAGGTGTGCATGTGAAAGGTACTAAAGAGAACCGAAAAGGGTTAAAAAATTGATTGGGTATGTTGATGCACGGTCCTAGCCGAGGTGACACGTCAGCAGGCTTTCCCTTTATAAGGGAAACCTTTGAGAAATGGTGCTTGCGATGACATTGTCCCATACTCGTTAGTCAGTAGATATATTTTGCTGGTTATGGAAGATCATTTAGTTACAAAATTAATGCTCCACTAGCATTGAAAGGATTTCTTATCGGTCATAATCTTCCGAAGATCAGAGTTGAACTAAGTTTTGCTTTTGGACACGCAGGCATTCCCAATGGCCCACGACCAGAGAAAGGACGTGCCATCAAGAGCACTCATTGCAAGTGACGTTATCACACTCCCATCACTCACACGAAGGGAAAGCAATGTGTGTCCTCAAAATAGCATGTGGCACCCAACATCAAGTCTCATTACTTCCCCGACTGGTCCACAAAGGGAGGCTTGTCGAGGAAAGTGGGGTCGTTGCTAAGGGAAAGCCATGAGGTGCCACATGTGGACGCGTTGCAGTAATTTCAGACCCTCCTCCACCTGCGAAGTGGGTGAGCATAGCATACGAGGACAACTCTGAGCGCACCAAAAGAAGGACATTGAGCGTACCGAAAAAGAAAGTCGAGCACACCGCACGGACGCCCCCAACGCATTTTGAGGTACCAACAAACTCACCCAACGGGCACCTAATATGGTGCCCAAAGCATACCCCAGATGTTGCTATACCCTAGATGTTGCTACACCACTTTTTGATGAAGGAAAATGAAAGAAAATGTTAGGAGAGGAGTCCTCACACCTCCGATTGGACTGTCCATCGTGCTCCACTCGAATTACCCACTTTCCATATATAAGAAAAAGGGCAACCCTACGAAGGTAGGTCGTTCCCTACACAAATCCTTGTTAGAATTCGGGATACAACCAAGCAGGCTCTCATCATTGAGATTATTGCATTTCTATTCTATTTGCTTCATACCCATCTGCTCATAATTTGAGTTTTAACTTGAGCATCAGAGTACATTCAGCAAAACTTTACACTGGTATTAATTTCTGTGTGCATGTAATCAAGATCTTGAAGACAAATGCATTCATATTCACTTTACACTGGTATTAATTTCTGTGTGCATGTAATCAAGATCTTGAAGACAAATGCATTCATATTCCTACTAATATGACACTTACATGGAGCTTATCCAAAAATTGGCATCAACAAAATGTATATAGAGAGAGAGGTTTTCATTTATCTATATTTAACTAAACGTAGTTTTTTTTTTAACAAATTAAAAGTTGTTATATATATATTTTTAAGATAAGCAAAGTATATTTTTATATTTACTCCGTTAGTTTTTGTTTGTAGCTTCCTTCCTCAAATATTCTAAGCAAAGTTGTGCCACGTAATTTGTCCAGATCACCTTGAATGTCTCAGCAATGCAATGTCAGCATATTACTTGACCTTACCTAACCAAATTCAACACAAAATTGCGACTTTATTATATATGTATCATGTTTGAATGTAAAATTTTGTCTCACCTACGAATTCTCTTTTGCCCTCTACTCTACATTTAGGAGCTTTCGATGCCTCCAACCAAAGTTAAAAGGACATTTTCGACATTGCATATGAGAGCATGGACCCCAGTCTGTTCGGGTGGGATACGATTAGGCTGAGAAGTTCTATTTGATAAATAGTCAAATTTCAAAAATAAAACATAAATTTTTTAAAGTTTTTTTCTTTAAATTTTGAATTTGACTTAGATTTTAAAAATGTTTCGAAAAGCGGATAACAAAATAAACATACACATAAGTAGAAGTAGTATTTCTTAGACCTTACTTTGTCTCCTCGTCATAAGTTAAGTTGTGTATTTTTCTTTTGGTATTATATTAAATCCCAGGCTTGAACGTTGAGATTTTACACATTATGACGTATCACAATAATTTTTTAAGAAAAAAAAGTTTTTGTATTTATTTGACCGAAATAAATGTATCTCAAGGAAAAAAAAGGTTAAGATATAAAATGATATAA